AGGGCAGGGCTCCCTCCACTGTTCTCAAATAAAGGCTCTCACTGTCTGAGATCCAACCCTCCCTGATTTTCACAGTACCATTGTAAGGCTGCATGAAGATAATTATTTAATGGCAAGGAGTTTTGCATATGATTCCCCTGTCATAAACCTGCTCAAGTCATAGGGTTCGATTTACATTTATGCAAATGTCAGAGAATAGAGTAAAATTACCAAAGGCGGAAAGGACCGTGGCATGTCCCAAACAAGATGTGCCTATTTGCATTTATGTTTGCTAATGAAGTTCAGCCAGGGCTTGCTCTTTGATTTGGATGTCTCTGTCTACTGTTCCACTTTATGCACTGCAATTAAAGCACTTGCCCACACACATGCAGAAGGACACCAAGAAAGGGAGACTCCAAGTTTTATATATGCTGTTATGTAACTCGCTTGCATAGGACCTATAATTCAGGATTTAACATCTCTAAGTGATAAAACAGACCTGCAGTATGACATTGTGCTTCAATGTAAGCAGAACTGCAGACTTAAACCAATGGAGGATTTGGCCCAAAAAACTTTAGTGTCTCGGGTGCCCACTGGAGGTGTTTTACCCCAGACTTTCCAAATTTTATCCCAAATAAAAATTAGGCATCAGGCCAGTCAAAAATCACAGCTGTTTCTTTCTCCTGCCAAAATTATTCTTTTCCATCATGCTACAGCTGCGAAATTATGCACTAGTGTAAATTGTTAACTGGAAACCGTTTCTAGCTGAGGTGCCCATTCAGAAGTCTTAGTTTTCTAATTTAATCTCTTACCTCATTGAGGAGTACTCACACATCTTGCGTTTTGTCTGGGATTGTTTCTGTAAATCATTGATTCACAGAATGGTTGGGGTTGGAAGGGACCTTAGAGATAGCCATGGGCAGGCACACCTTCCACTATCCCAGGTTGCTCCAAGCCCTGTCCAACCTGGCCTTGAACACTTCCAGGGATGGGGCAGCCAGAGCTTCTCTGGGCAACCTGTGCCAGGGCCTCACCACCCTCACAGCCAAGAATTTCTTCCTAATATCCAGTCTAAACCTACTCTCTTTCATTTGAAAACCATTTCCTCTAGTCCTAAATAACAGTATATCTTGTCCTGTGAACTCTTCAGTTCATAGGGTCATGTTTCATTTCATGGGACCTACTGTGAGGACAGGAGTTTTGCTGTCATCTTCATGGAGTAGTTCTTTGTGGGCCTTCATAATAACAATGCCTTGGGCTGTCGCTATGCGAGAGAAATGGGACCGAACAAAAGAGAGTAGAAACAGGGTGATTTTTCATGAAATTTGAGGAGTTCCTTAACCAAGGCCTCTTGTACCACATTGGCTTTTTAAGTTGTTAGTTTTCCCTCCTTTCATCAAATGAAGGGCAAACCACGATCTTGCTTCTAGGTGACTGACAGCAGTGAACACTGCTCATCTTTTCTGCTTCATTGTACCTCCCTTCAGATTGTTGAAGAAAACTCTGCCTTCATTTATTAAATAACGATAGCATTCCCAAAGAGGATCTTATATCAGAATGCAATGTGCTTTGATAACTTGAAGGAGCAACTTTTTCAAGGCAGGGTTCCTGCACAGGAGGTGCCTGAGAAGCTGTGAGGAGGTTCTTCAGAAGGTCCATAAATGGGGTAGAATCACAGAATGGTTAGGGTTAGAAGGGACCTTAAAGATCTAGTTCCAACCCCCCTGCCATGGGCGGGGATGCCACCCACTGGATCAGGGTAGAACTGGGAAGTAGAGGACTAAGACGCAAAATCATCACACCTCTCAAGTAGGAGCCATTGGTAAGAGCAGCCTGAACAAGATGAAAATTTGTTTATGCTTTCACTTTGGCCCAGCCTGTGTAGTCTCTGGTTTTGGATGGCAGCAATCTGTCATTTCACCTTCAACGAGGTGGGGAGGCAAAATCTTGTCATACGATAGCAAGGAGCAGGAAGTTTCTGTGAGAGTTAGATTGGTCAAATAAGGTTAGATCAGCTTTTCAGAGCAGGAAAGCCGCTCTGGGAAGGTGAACTGTGTAATTTGTGCCAAGCTCAGTGATTCCCCGTGTCTAAAAGATGGTCCTTTGACCACCCTCGCAGAGGACAGGTACAGTAAGAGGCTGATGGACCTTCAGCCATGGCAGAGACTCAGCCCACAGCAGGACGAATCAAAGCACAGGCTGGTAGACAGTAAATTTTAAGAGAAGACACAAAAAATTTGGATGCAGTAGACACTTTTCTAAAAGGAGCTCCAGAAGGGATCGTGGGCTTATGTTACCTCTTGACATTGGGCTACAGCAAGATGTATCCAGCAAAATGAGTGCAGCTATTTTAATCCCACATCAAGAGTCTACATCATCCTCTATCTGTAATTCTGAGCCAAATAATCATATTTAAAAAAAAAATAAAAATTGGATACTGCCAAAGTGGCATAAAGTACCCAGAAGTGTCATCCAAACCCTCTGTGTTATCTCCAACCACATTAAATGTCTGCCATATACATCCAGACTCTCTTACAAGGGCACATACACATGCAAGTTTTATAAAAAACATCTTGCTGTTTCTCTTCACAAGTCTTGGCATGTAAAGATCTGTCTTTCAGTATCACAAATTCAGCTGTATAAATCTCAAAGATATCTGGTATAACTCAGAATGATGGGATGACTGTAAAATAGTTTCACTCTGCATAAAAGCATTTCAGAGGTTAACCTTTATTATCTAGTAATGTATCAAAATGAGACGAAGTGTTATCTTGTTATGGAATGGGATGAACCAAACTCCCTCCTCTGAAATACTGATTTTCAAAAGAGTTGCCTTTAAGCTGAGGTTGAAGGCAAGGATGGTTTCTGGGTAAAATGGTTCAATTTATGGCTAAATTCCATAATAAAATATGCATATATCAGAATCACTTTCTCTGGCACGGGAAGGAAAATTGTTTTGTTTTCATTATTGCTAAACTTCAAAATGGCTTCAGGAATTTAGTTGGTCTTTCCAAAGAAAGTGAACTTCAGGCGGAGATTAAAGCAGAGGAAACTTCAGCCCAAGGGCAAATGTTTCAGAAAGTTTAAAGTATGTGAAACGAGGAGTGAAGTAGGAAATAGTTTTCAATCCTAACTATAGCCACACTGGTTATAATATATCGCTAAATATAGACCTGTGGGTGTGTCCAACTCTCCAAAGGTGTTCTTCTCCCTCTGCTGAAACTGGCTTCTGGAATGACCTTTGCAGGGATACAACTGCCTGTATAACACTGCCTGTGTTGGAAAATGTTAAACTTCATTATTTCCCAGGTGAGCCCAGCCAAGCCCAACTTTGCTTTGCAACCAAAATTCCTTTTGCAAAATTCAGCCCTTTATCTTTCATGTAGATCCAGCTTTACACTTGGGATCATTTAACTTCGAGCAAACTGTACAATAGTCCTGAATATTTTGTTTATGTGCTAAAGGTTGTCACTCAGGTTATAAAGCTCTGTAAAAATATCAGGGTCAAGGAGCTAAAAACATTACTTTTGCATCGACTTCCAAATGCCAGCCATAATGGTTTGGGCAAGCTGCACATCCAAACTGCCTTGGACTTGGTGCTTGTGGTTGTGGGAATATATTGGATCCTTTCAAAGTTATTGGCTAGTCTGTTTTGGGCATTTCATGTTTGAGTATAGAGCCTTTGGGTTTATTTTGTGTTTTGTTTGTGGTGATACTGTCATGTCTGATGCCTGGCTGTATATCCCAGAGTTAATGTTCTGCTCTTTGATTTTAATGCCATGTGCTGCTGGATCTCTATACTGGAGTGTGGTGTTAATGTAGAGGATACTGTAATGAACATCTTGTACATATTTCCTTTTGCATATTCACTGTCTGTAAAATGTCTGTCTGAATACATCCTTGCTGGTTTTGAAATTATTTCCTTACCATTCAGTACAAATACTATTTATATCCAAAGTTGTTTGAGGTTATCCTTTACTCCTAATGTTACTCTAATTCTAGTTTAAGAGAGGAAAAATTGATCTGGCTGAAATTAATTAGGATATTGGTAGAGCCACTAAAAATGGTGGTTATATATGGCACTTCCTAAGTGCTTGGGCTGAAGAGGTACAAAATAAATCTGACGAAGCACTAATGTAACAAACCAGATGACTATATTTTCATTTTTAAAACTAGATGACTGCTGAAGGTGAACCAAATAAAGCAAAAGTATTTAAACTCCTCTGCTTTTTTAAAGATACCATTATTATTTTTTTAAAAAAGGCATTTTTAAACTGAGAATATCCCCTCAAAATATAGGGTTTCCAGTATGCCTGGCATAAAAAGGCATAGTTTCCTATATTGATTCAGAAAGAGCTGTTAAAAATGCATGAAAGGTATTTTAGGGAGACAGTGTCACAAGGTCTTTTAAAATTATTTTCTCAAGTGCTCTTTAGCTCCTGTGCTTCTTTACCATTGGAAACACTTGAGCCCAAGTTACAATATATGCGATATCAAATTATTTCATACTGACTAGAGGGTCTTTAAGATTAATTTTGGTTTGGAGTGGTGGGGATTATACCAGTGTCTGTTTACATAACTTCAGACTCAGACTATAAATTAAATTTGGAAAACTGTAATTATTCAATAATTTATAGGCTATTCAGATAGGTTAGAAATTATTCTTGAGCGTAGTGAATAGAGAACAAGTACCTATAAAGGGCAAACAGATTCAGCAGAATGGTGTATTTTTGGCCTCATCTATTTTGCAGGCAATTAGCAAAATAGGATGTTACATTTTTTGCCTATCTCTCGCTCTCCTGAAATAGAGTCACTAACCACTTGTTAACCACATTGATTTTTTAATAGACAAAGTGGTTGCTTATAGCTTCCCCACCAGAAATGTTCAGATTAAGCACATTATTAGATTGCAGCTAGAATAGCCTACAAAACAGGAAGAAAGCCTTGCTTTTCTCTGTGCCTCCTTGCCTTGTTTAAGCTGATGTGATAATTCATTACAGATTTTTCTCTCTCCCTGACAGAGTGCCTACCGCAGGAACGGGATGACTTTTCTCGCCTGCTGATGTGGATGTGGCTGCAGCAACAGGAAAGACAGTGTTATATTAAGGTGATTTTCTTTTCCCCTCCATGGAAGGAAAAAAAATACAAGCTCCAATGTCTCCATGTACCAGTGAGTGGGCTGGTTTGTTGTGACTATCTGCTGGCTGTCTCTGTCTCTCTTTCCAGCCCCCTCAGTCGTTATTCTTGTTTACTAGCTGGAACATTTAGCTAATTAATGGCAGGATGTTTGGGATAGGGTGTAGGTGGACAAGAATGCAGCTCAGACAATGCTGGAGTTTGCAGGGGACTTGCTGCTGTCAGCCTCTTTCTGACTGCCATGTCATTTTTATTTAAGTGTTTGGAAGTCTGTGTGTTCTCCAAAAGATGTTTTTTTCTAAAGCAGGATGGGGCAGGAAGAGGCCAGAGATAGACTGGGTTGTGTTGGTCTATATAGGTTATATAAAGGTTACATAGTTTTCCTTGTGATTTTTACAAAAATAAAAATTATTTCCTTCTATTTTCCACTAATTTCTAGTTGTTTCTCTTGTTGATTTAAGCGTTCAGACAGTATAACCCAATTTAATCCAGTGAGGGGATTTTGATGACAGTAATAGCAAGTTTGGAACCAAAGATATTCAGAAAAAAGTTCGAGTAAACTGAACTTAGCCAGTGAGAGACTTGACTTTTTGCAGACCCAAGGATAGGCTGAGTGGTCACCCCCAAATTCTCAGTGTTGGCATCTCCTGAGGCTCGAGTCACTACTCTCTGAAATCTAAGAAGGCCTTTGCAGTGATGTGGCACTGGATTGGGCCTCTATTCGGAAAAATACATCCTAAAGTATTTAAATAACTGTGTCTGTCTCAGTGGTTGTAGGCAAAGACTTAACGTTATGTACTTGCTCAGCGTTTGCTGCAGGAAGCAGATGTTGTCCCTGTTGTTGACAAAGGCAGCATTACTGTTGGATTTGGTTAAAGAAGAAACCAAGCTCTTTTTGCCTTTTTTTTTTAACGTATTTTAGGTAACGTTGTTTGTTTTCAAGATTTGTTTTTTAAATCTCAGTCCCTCCCTCTATGCTTCTTCCCGTCCCCTGCTCCTCCAGCCTTTGCTGGCCTCACAAACACATTCATTTCTTCCCATAAAACTGTACAAATATAGAGCTGACCACGATGATGCTTGACCAGAGAAAAGTGCTCGTGCTTCAGCCCATCACCAGGATCTACAGGCACGTCCTGCTGGTTTCCCTGTGCTACCCATGGGCCAGGGTCTGCTTCAGCCAGGCTTGGAATTCAACTTAAACCTCATATTAATACAGAACACTCAAGGGATCAACAGGAGATCAGCAAAATATTAGTTTTATATAGTGCAGCCGTCCTCCTTCTTTGTGCTTAGTGTGTGAGGTCTTAATTTTTACTCCTGCTCTACTCTCTTGTGGTCGTTTGTAGGTGGTTCTGTTGTCCTCTCTCCTGGACCTGCTCGCAAAAACTTTAAATATATGTATATTTTTTAAATAAACAGCAAAATGTCTCTTTGCAACCAAAATATTGTAAAAGTGAACTTTGTACGTCGAATATTACTGACGTTCATAAATTGCTTTTTCTTTTGCCTACTTTTTGCTTCTGTTTTCTGGAAATTATCTGTGTGTAAAGGACTGAAAGTAACGTGTACAATGCTGTGTACTAAACGAGGGGAGGGGGAAGTTTTCTGATGCTCCATCTGTGCTTCTTGAAATGTATGATTAAACTATTCTTTTTATCATCACTCTTTATTTTTGTTGGCATCCTTAATCACGGAAAATTATATGCTTGCTGTAAACATCCAGACTTTTTTAAAAGGACACCAGCATTTATTGTATTTGGTTTCGATATGCAGGGATAGAGACAGAAGAAACCATTTCAGGCACTGGGTACTGGAATCAAAATTCCTTCTGTAGCTGTATCTCTCCCAGATTTTACATTTTAAAATATGCATAAGCAGGAAAAATACTGGCACTTATTTTTTACTGGTCTACTTAAAGTCCCAGAGAATGAAGACTCAACATACATTTCTCTCAGAAATATGACAGATCATGTTTTTGTTGGTCTGCTGTATGTTTGTCTATCTTGAACAGCCTGACAGGCAATTATTTATAAAATCTGTGTTTGCCCAGTAAACCCATATAATAACCTTTCACTTCTCTGCACAAGTCAGGGAGCTGAATTTAGAGTCAAACAAAGTAGGTTGTGTCTCCCTATCTTGGACTAACCCAGTTTATTCTTATTTTGGGAAGTAATCACTTTTTTTTTTCTCATCTTCAGGGTTTTCTTTTACTCCGTTTAAAACAAAAAAGCAGCCAGTAATACTCGTGCTCCATTTGGAGTGTGTCTTAGCACCAATTCCCATGCTGCAGAAGCAGAGATGTGTGTTTAAGCTGGTGCTACGCATTTTTATTATATATATAAAAATCGTTTTGAGATTCAGTTAATGGCTGCATATGAATGGTTTTATTCCTGTGTAATTTCAACTTGCAAATCATTTTGATTCTTAGCCCAGATTTACAGTGACTGGATCAGGTGATGTCAGTTATTTCACATTAGTTACCTGAAGAAGGGAAACATCTATTTCAGTAGGAATAAGGCTGTGTAAAAAGGGAGTGTGAGTTTTGCTGTCAATTCAGTCTCTGCCCTGCTGTGTGGTTATACTACCACAGTTTTCAGATTTTTAGTCCAGCCGTGCACAAAACAGGGATAATAATTCAACTTAAAACTTGTTGGAGGTGATGGAGCCACAACGCAAATTTCTGGTTGAGCTTCATCTCATTTCTCAGGCTTTCCGGAGAGAATAAAACCCTTTAAAAGGGTTTTACCTTCCTCTGGAAATCAAGAGAAGCTGACAGAGCTCTGTGTTTCTCCAGAGACACTCAGACCCTGCAGAATGTGCCCCTCTGGGTTTTCAGAGCACACTCCTCTTTCTGAAGTGTCACACTCCCTGAGGGGGGGGAATAAAAAAGTGAGGTTTGGCATTTTTTGAGTGTAGATGAACCTTTGTGTTGTTTAAGGTTCTGCCATCAGCCATATGTAGATCTCATAAAATGTTTTATAGCTTACCATCCAGCTCATACAGAATGTTTCATAGTACATAAACACTTCTAATAATTATTTAAGAATAAATAGATAGTGACATTAGTCACAAGTCTAACCTCTAGTTGAAACTTAAACAGTTACGGGGTTGAGGGTTTTTTTTTGCCTGAGTGAATCATCTTGTCCAAGGTTGGGCTTTTTATACCTCTATTTTTTTATACCTCTACTATATATCCACTCCAAGCAGCCAGGGAAAGGCAGTGGTGGCATGCATTAAATCCAGGGCTTTATTCAGAGGGCACGGAGCCAGTGCAAAGCAGTGGAGCCATCCCTGAAGGAATTGAATGTAAATTTGATGGTTTAAATAAGGCCAGATGCCTTAAAAATTATTTTGAAGGCTGTATCTTTAATGTATCCCTTAACTTTTTTCTGCTTAAGATAATGATGTTGCCTTTACAAAATAATAAGAAAAAATAGCTCTCATCTCTTGTGGGGAGACAAAAATCAGATACTTTGGCTTCTATAAATCACTGAAATGTTGGCAACTGAAACAAAGTTTTAGAAGGCAGATGACTGCAAATTTGAAGGAAACCTTCATATTTTACTGTTAAAAGCTTTTTAACTGTCTAGAGAGTGCTCTGAGACACTACATTAATAGCCATTCTCAGTAATCAAGCTCCACTATACTTATATACTATTTTTCTTAAACAAGATAGATTAGTAGTGGAAGAGAGCTGGAAAGATAAATAAGGAAAATCAAGAACTAAAATTATAATAATACAGTTTCATTTTACATTTTATAGTTCTCTATTTGTGATTGATAATTCATCTTAACTCCTATCAGACAGAAATATTGGCACAAGAGTCTTATACCAATATCTGTATATTTCTGGACTTGTCTTCATACAGATGCTTTGCAGATTTTCTTACTGGTTTTGTGAAGATGTGATCTGTCAATTTGGTCCTTGTATGACTTTGATTACTGTAATATCTGAGTGCCTCACAGGTTTCCATGTGTTCATGCCCACAGCACCACTTTAAAACAATAATAATGTGTTGTTATCTCCGTTTCTTCTGTGGAAAGACTAAATGATGGGAGACTAAATGACTCCATGTTGGGAGACCTGGGATGGTTCAGAAAACTTGGATTTCCCAAATCCGTATTGATGCTCTCAGTTCCGAATTGTTTTCCCTCTGCAGTGAAAGCAATAGGTGTGTCAGCACATAAACCAGCCCTGCAGGTTAGGAGAGAAAGGGGCAAAAGCAGCCTCCAACTGGATCCACGAGGGGATTTGGGGGTGGAAGAATGCAACCACTCTATTTGGATCCAGTCCAGGGCTCAAAGCTTTAAACCCTTCCAGCTGAGATGTGCCATGGCCACTTAGTGACCCTGTGCAGAAACACAAATGATACGTTTCTACCAAAACGTGGACTGCGGGACACTTTCCCTCCTCCACACTCTGCTGGATTCCTGCATCAAAAATCACCACGAGGAACATATTCATTACTTTGGCACTGCCAGAGTGTTCCTACCTTCATCTCCCAAACTGCCTTTGCAGAGTGCCTCAGAGCTGCAAGAAACAAGAGGAGAAACACAATTAAGAAACATAAATGCCCTGTTTTAACTGGAGCAGCAGCTGTGATGGGTGTTGACAAAGATAAAGTAAAATGTTAATTTTTCATAAATGAACTGTGTCTGAACATAATGAAGTACCGCTGAAGTGGTGTGGCTGATCTTCAGCCTGGAACTAGACCTGGGAGAAGAGAAGGTATAAGATATCAGAAGCTGTAGCAGGATTCAGATAGTCAACAGCCAATAGAGCAAGTTGGCTCAAACCAGTTCTATTTAGCTCTTATTTCCATAACTATTTAATTAATCTGCAAAACAAAAAAAAAACCCTCCAAAACTATTGCATTTCTTGTACTGACATGATTTCCTCAGATCTGCAAATGAAATGGCAGCAACTGTGTGTCAGGCTGAGGTGAAAACAAATCTGAACCATGGCTGCAG